CACACACACACACACACACACACACACACACACACACACACACACACTGGTCTTACCTCAGGAGCATGGTAGGAGACACACTGGAAGATCCAGCCCATGGCAGGCGAGTACAGAGGGAGATAGGACAGCAGCTCCACACCCTGGGCCACCAGCTGGTTCTGGACAGTGTCTCCATGAATCTACAGGAGATCAAAGGGACATCAGAAAGGAGTCACAGCACATAAAGCAGGCTGGCTTAGAAGTGTATGGATGGATGCAAGGGTAACAGCCTGCTTTCTCAGCTGAATTTAAAAACAAAACAAAATGCACAGCAAGTTTCCCATGCCACCCAGCTGAGCAGTTCGTGGGGATGTGTTGCACAGGCTGAAGTAACCCGAGGAAAATGGATCAACAAATGCCAGGAAGGAAGGCCAATTGGCTGGAGGCATTGCCTGTTCACATCTGTCCATTAACTCTCCCTCCACCCATCAGCAGGTAAAGACCCTGCAGATGTCAGTGTCTCTTTGCACACCTGGCCAGCTGTAAGCATCCTCAGCTTGGTGAGGATTTGTTCATGGAATGGTTTGCTCAGTGAGCTGCCGTGGCGCTCTCCTACCTGTTTAAATGTAAGCAGGAAGTCAAAGAAGTTCTTATTGAGGCTCTCCTTGAGGTGTGGGGCCACTTCCATCCCCACCTGCAGGTAAACAAAGTGACACCATTGTTACAGGGAAAAGCCAGCTGCAAATAAGACACTCCTCCTGGTGATTTTTCTTCTTTCCAACCCAGGCTCTCACTATGTCCTCACTGGCCTTGTGCTCGACCATCCCCCTGCCTCAGTCTCTCAAGTGCTGGGCTTACAAGTGTATGCCACACACCTACCTGTAGCACAAATCTGATAACAGAAAACAGAGTAGCTGGGACATAGCTTGGGGTAGAGTGTTTGCCTAGCATGTATAGGACCCTAGTGTTCATCATACCATAGTGCATGCACGCACACACACACACACACAGAGGTACAGACACTTAGATGAGAAGCCTATACCATCCTGCTATCCGTTTCCCCACTCAATAAACATGTATTCATTTTATAAGAAAAACCGCAGAAGCTATTTTTAATGGGACAGGGGTATTTGTGATCATCTTTAAATTTCCCAAGAGCAATGAATATATTCCTGAACAAACCACCTAGAGAACAAATCAATACAGAACAAAGGAAGGCTGTGCTCCCAGGATGGTGAGAACATTCTCTTCACTTCAAACCACAAGACAACCAACACTCCTGGATATGTTTATTAGATGAAGCAAGATTATGGTAGGTGGGGAGGAGTGGTAGGCACACACAAGGTCCTGGGCTTAACTCCCAGCGTCCTCCTGAAGCCCCCAAAGCTTACCATGGAAAAAACAGCCAGCTTCTACATCATTGCTATAAGCAATGCAGACTCACTCTGCAGTCAGGCAGTCATAGAAAAAGATACTTTTAAATGTGTTTTACACAACTCTAATACGCCAAGCACAAAGAATACAAATGTCATCATCTGCCTGGAGAGATGGTTCAGCAGGTGCCTGCCACCAAAACTAATAATCTGAGTACGTTCCTGGAACCCAAATGGTAGAGAGAAGTCTGACTCCATGGCATGTCTACGCACACATCAGGGGAATATAGCAGTAATTATTTGTTAAAGCCATCATCCAGGGCAGCCATGATCACACACACACACACACACACACACACACACACACACACACACACA